CTAGAAATTGACCTTCCATATGACCCAGCAATTCCCCTATTGGGAATATACCCGAAGGAACTCAAATTATTCTACAAAAAAGATACCAGTGCATGTATGTTTGTTGCAGCTCTATTCACAATAGCAAAAACATAGACAATCGTGTTGCCCATCAAAGCTGGACTGGATTTTAAAAATGTGGTACATATACACAATGGAATATTATACAACCATAAAGAAGGACAAATATATGGACTTTGCAGCAACTTGAATAGATTTGGAGTCAATCATACTCAGTGATTTATCATACAAACAAAGAACTGAGTTCTATATGTTGGAAGCCGACCTTGAGCAATTATAATGCTATAAGAAAGCGATTGGCAGTAGTGGGAAACTGTTGTGGGGGGGGATTGGCAGTTGAGGGAAACTGCTAGGGGAGGGAGGGGAATACCTCATCAACAAGGGTACCTGCATGATCAATGTGTATATATCTAACCCTGAATTATACTCCACATCTTTATAATAAATAATAATAATAATAATAAATGGTAAAATATAGCACATTTATCACATGCATTTGCAATTACTAATATCCACATTATTCAAAGTTATATATATCTAAGTCAGGAACATTAATAGGTTGGTTTTTTAAAAAAAACACTAGTAAACAGTTGGAAAGAAGCAAAAACACACTAATTAAAGCAAATTAAAATATTAATAATCTTTTTTCTGACTGGGAAGTTACAAAAATTATAACATTTAGATTCAGTAGGAACATCGAGGAAATGGCATTTTCACAATATACACACAAAGATTAAGAAAAAAGAAAGAAAGAATCTTTAACCTAGTCATCAACTACATCAAACTGAACAAGGTTACTCCTTATAATAAACTTGTTACACAAGTAAAGTCTTAGAAACAATGCTAATGCCTAGCACTGATTTGGAGATTCATTTTAAGAGTTGTATATATTGAACACTATGGAATACTTAAAGTTATGGTATTTAACTAAATTTTGTCACATGGAAGAATATTCACCAGGTATGTTTAAGTTAAAAGCAGATTATAAATCAGTATATACTACAATTAAATTTTTCATTATGCACACATTTTTAGGATTTTTTTCCTTCCTACAAATTGATTTTCCTAATTTTTCTACAACTTTTACATATTATTTAGTAAGTTAAAATCCTGCTTATTAAATACGAATGGAATTCTAAATTATATTCACTAAAAATCTTTTATGGAATGAGGAAATATGTCTGCTAAATTATTAAAATGTAAGATTCAAAACTAAATATATTGTGATCACACCTATGTAAAATATACAAAGAAAAATTCAAGATGAAAATGCATCTCTTTTAACAAAGGTCAGTTGGGTGGTGGAATTAGGCTGACATGTTTCTTCTTTCTATTTTTTAGTTTATCCAGTCTTTTAAATTTTACAATCAAGATATTTTTATATTTTTGAAATTCCATGCCAGAGAAATGTAGGCTTAAGTAAGTTGGTACCTGAGTCAGTTAAAATAACTCTAATGGATAAACTTTAGAATTTCAGCCACAATAGAAGTTGATCTCTTGTTCACACATAGTACAAAATGAGAATTCCTAATGAGTAGCTGCTTCCCTTCTACTCTCAAGTGTTCCAGTTTGGACAACAAATTACAGGGTCAGCCCAGGATTAAGGGACCCAGGTTGTTTCCCAAAGATGGCT